ATGTTGGATAGCCAGGCAGAGATTATATCCAAAAATCTAACACGAGCTAATAACCGTGGTGACTCTTAATTGAACACTTTGTCAGTATACAATCGCTCACATAACGCGGTGTATGGCAGGGAATTGCATGATACGCTGTCCGGAGATGTTCCATTTTGGTTCTGCCATCGGCTCGGTCATTGGACTTACCAGAAATCAAACAACATTCCATTAACACATGTTAATCTTGTTAATGTGCAGATATTACCCAGTGAATACTTTTGTCTTAATTAGCTTGGCCAGTCCTGTTTCGTGAGACATTCAGATTCATCGCAGTCCATGAATTAGGATCTCATCTAGCTAGTCTATTTAATTGCATTTTAAAGAGGATCATCACAATGAATGAAAGTACGGAATCAGCTCTTTTTGCACATCATCAATTTGCTGGCAAAATAGTTGTCATGGTATGTATTACTCCTTTCCTACCTTGCATCGTCGTCAGCAACGCCCTGTTAATGTTAGCAGTTTACAGACAGTACAGCCTCCGAACACCAACAAATGCCATTATTGTGAGCCTTGCTATCTCTAATCTCCTCGACGCCCTTGTTGGGATTCCACTGTATGTGTATGCAGCCGTCTTTAAATTCGATGCATTGTGCTTAGCTGAAGAAAATACTCCTTACTATGCCCTACCCCTGAGTGCACTATCTAGTGTTTCGTTTTGTCACATTGTGGCGTTGACTGCAGATCGATTCATAGCTGTTACGAAGCCGTTACGTTATGCCAGCCTGGTGACGTTTAGACGCATTGCCATAGTCCTGGGATGTCTTTGGCCTCTTACTATTGTGTCTGACACCGCCCGATCTTTTAACTTAGCGCATGGATCACATACAAGTCACGACCAGCAAGAAAGAGACTGTGGGGCGCCTTTACCTGGGACATTGAACGTAACCTTCACCTAGCTGGTTGATGGTTTGCGTGACCGTGATTTCAATGGTTGCGCTGCTTGCCATCAATGCTTTGATTCTTCACATCGCAGTGAAACAAGCGAGAAAGATTGCGAGTCAAAGAGTGATCATTCAGTTCCAACAGCAGCAACTCCCAGTACAAGATGACCGATTGAAAGCATTTAAGACTATCTCCCTTGTCGTGACAGTCTTCATTATCTTCTGGTTTCCGATTCCCCTGTATTTCATATTACGGCTTACAACGTACCTATCACCGTTTACTATTATGGTATACAATAATTCCTTCCTGGTATTGCATACCGCAAATTTGGTTGTTACTCCTATCATCTACGGCTTCAGAGATCGGGCTTTTCGAAAGGCCTTTCAAAATATCTTGCGTCAATTTTTAATAACGTAGTAGTCTTTCGCAGTTCGTCGTAACCCCTTTGACGCCATTTTAGCGTGTGATCTATCCATTGTCACATCAAAGGAGCACCTTTTGTCCTAGAAGAAACTTTACATTTTTTTGCAAAACATTACGTTACTTTAGTTTGAGAACCTACAAACCTGACCGATGGCCTGTCAGAAGTAGCCGAATAAGCAGTATCTCTAACTTGGTTCATTGCATATGCTTGCCTTAAAAGTTGCGAACGCGTTCATAATTTTAAATATGAAGAGCCTCGCAGCAAGCAATGGAATTGACGATGTTTTAGGGTTTTCTCATTTGCATGCTTCCTCGTTGGTGTAGCAAAGCCCTTGGTGCGTGGGCTAGATGAAGTGAAAACGACCCGACTTTGATAATAAGATTATGAGTGGAAACGATAAATCTGATTTAAATGAGATTTAATGTCAGTGGCAGTCAGCCTGTTTGATTATTGTAGCAAGGGACAAAGTAATGTGTCAAACGGATATCTAGGCTAAAATGATGTGAAACATAATTATAATCATCCCCCGCAATATGGTGCTTGTTTCTGTAATTATTCATAGGTGATGAGCAAATATTGGACAATCATAACTTCTCCGGGGGTAGAGGAGCATGTATGTACTGTAATTGCACATTCAAAGGTCAATTAAAACCATTTTTTTTCGGTTTGGTTGTCTCGTATCCTTAGATTCTGAATAACCTGTTCTGTTGGTCACTTTATGCTTGCACTCTATAATTTTGATGCTTATTGTGCACAAACCTGTTCATTTGCGTTGTATTAAGATAACAAATTCTTGAATTAAGCTGTCATTTAAATCGAATGAAATCTATTCATGATCATAATCAGGATCCATTCGTGTTTCTTAAGATCTCATGTGTCATTGATTTGTTAAGTGCATTCTCATATTGAAAGAACGTCAGTAAGCATTGATTATCATTGACACAAATTGCTATTTATTCTTGATGCCATATCAATATATATATAGTTAGGAAAACAAAATGGCCTTTGTGGTCTTCTGTGGGTCTTTTCTTTAACATATTTCATTATATTGTTCGTAGTGGGTTTCTTAGAGCTAACGAACATTTATAGCCAGAGTGATTGTTGAAATGCAAACAAACAATGATGGACCCCTAAAACATAAAATGTAAGCACTTTGGGTACAGTGTATAAAAAGATCAGTCGGTGACATCGTCTAAGTATCAAACTTGACTTAGGAATCCGACTGAAAAACATAAAGCGAGTTGAACACCATTTGCCTGTTGGATTCGTCTGTGTGCAATACAGTATAGTATGATGGGGTTTGTGTGTCCCGCCTTCTCTCATGCCTTTGGAATTGATTACAAATATTCATCAAATAGCACTACAACCACATGTATATTTGTTTTGTATGATATTATATAACATCAGTCTTAAAATATTCATGAAATATTGGTTGTAAACTTCTTCAAATTAATTGCTGTTTTTAATCAACTGTCCGGACACAGTGGCCCGAATTCACAAAGGAGATCTGTCGACAAACCTCCTTTGTAAATTCGGGCCACAACGTCTGGGTATAATTAATGGGGATGAGAATCATAGTAATGTGAATGAGCCGAACCATATTTCGTGTGTAATGAAGAAGGCCAAATCAAGAGAGAGAGAGGGAGAGGGAGAGGGAGAGACAGAGAGAGAAAGAGATCAGATGGAGTGTGTGCGTGTGTGTGTGTGTGCTTGATATATATATTTATATATATATATATATATATATATATATATATATATATATATATCTTTATAAATATCAATATAGATTACTTTGTAATTAGGGAGTCTTCGTCAATTTTTTTTGTCGAACGAATATGTTCTCTTGACAACGTCAGTGCTGTCGTGAGTGTTTCTAAACATGCTGAAGATTGTATACAAATAATACATGCTTGCGAGTGCATTAGTGAGTATGCACTGCAACGAGTTTAAATCATATTAGGATACTGAACGAGCTAAAAACATTAATTATTTGTTTATTTGATGGGTCTACAATATGAGTTTATTGTCGGGAAATTGACGGTTGTTATCACCAAAATGCACTCCTCGAGTCTATCCTAAACATCAATGCACACACACGTGATCCATTTCGACGCATCTCATTGGCTACATTCTTGGACCCATTTTATATTTCTTCATAAAAAGGCATGACGGTACTTCAACGAAGACCAGGAACACCATTAACAACCGAGTAAGAGAAAGTGCCTTTAAGTCCTCTCCGGGTGACTTAGTAATGAGGAATAGTGCCTTACCAAAGGACACTATATAGCCCATCAATTATAACTTAGGCTCGAACCCGGGAATCCTCGATTACGAGACCACCGCCCTTTACCACTGAGCCATCGCGCTTCTTTAATAACTTTTGGCATTGGCTCGTTCCAGTTTCATTACCAGATTTTGTTGACTGGATTTCTATGAACAGCGTAGGTTTTCTTTCATACGACGTACATCATTTTTATTCCATTTTAATTTAGAGAACAGCTCAATGTTGGATAGCCAGGCAGAGATTATATCTGACAACCTAACACGAGTTAATAACCGTGATGCCTCTTAATTGAACACTTTGTCAGTATACAGTCACTCACATTACACGGTGTATGGCGGGAAGTGCATGATACGCTGTCGGAAGATGTTCCATTTTGGGACTGCCATCGGCTCAATCATCGGACTAACCAGAAAACAAACAACCTTGCACTTAAATTCAGTTCTTTAAAATGCCATTAACAGATTTTAATCTTGTTAATGTGCAGATATTACCCAGCGAATACTTTTGTCTTAATTAGCTTGGCCAGTCCTATATCGTGAGAGATTCAGATTCATCGCAGTCCATGAATCTACACTGTTGGTCATAATGGTGGAATAATTATTTTTACCCCAGTTAAGGGAAGGATTTAAAAAAAATATTTATTTCTAATAGATCTAGATAATGGCATACATTCTCAGATTTTATTGAATATTAATTTGCGAGTGTTTGTTTTGCGTGACTCCTAAATCATATGTGTGCTCCTATGCTAATCAGCTAGGGAACCTACGTGTGGCCATGCCTTGAACCATAATGCATGGCCCTACAGAGGAATTTTTCCTGTAGGGGGCCGGGGGAAATGCAATGAATTATTGATAATTTATTGCATTTTCTTCGTTTTGGGGGATTTGTGGAAGGGGCCGCGTACCCTAGCAAACACTGCGTACAGTCATGATTCAGGGGCTAAGCAATGGCCTTGTTACTGTGAGGCCCCAGGATAAAAATCGTGTCAATCAGCTATATATTAGTGCTCTTTTGTGAGGCATTAATCCTTATTACTGTCAATTATGACTTAAGGACGTAGGTCCCTTAGCTGATTAGCATAGCAGCACACATATGATTAAGCAGTCACGCAAAACAAACACTCGCAAATTAATATTCAATAAAATGTGAGAATGTATGCCATTATCTAGATCTATTAGAAATAAATAATTTTTAAAAATCCTTCCCTAAACTGGGGTAAAAATAAATATTCCACCATTATGACCAACAGTGTAGATATTTACTAGTCTATTTCATTACATTTTAAAGAGTAGCGTCACAATGAATGAAAGTAAGGAATCAGCTCTTTTTGCACATCATCAATTTGCTGGCAAAATAGTTGTCATGGTATGTATTACTCCTGTCCTACCTTGCGTCATCGTCAGCAACGTCCTGTTAGTGTTAGCAGTTTACAGACAGTACAGCCTCCGAACACCAACAAATGCCATTATTGTGAGCCTTGCCATCTCTAATCTCCTCGACGCCCTTGTTGGGATTCCACTGCATATGTATGAATCCGTCTTTGAATTCGATGCATCGTGCGAAAAAAATACTCGTTACTATACTTTACCCTTGTATGCACTATCTGGTGTTTCGTTCAGTCACATTGTAGCGTTGACTGCAGATCGATTCATAGCTGTTACGAAGCCGTTACGTTATGCCAGCCTGGTGACATATAGGCGCATTGCCATCGTCCTGGGATGTCTTTGGCTTCTTAGTATTTTGTTTAACACCGCCCGATCTGTTAGCTCAGCACATGGATCACATACAAGAGTAGACCAGAAAGCAACGGACTGTAGGGCGCCCTTAACTGGGACGACAAACGTAACCTTCACCTGTTTGTTAGTTTGTGTGATCGTGATTTCAATGGTTGCGCTGCTTGTCATCAATGCTTTGATTCTTCACATCGCAGTGAAACAAGCGAGAAAGATTGCGAGTCAAAGAGTGATCATTCAGTTCCAACAGCAGCAACTCCCAGTACAAGATGACCGATTGAAAGCATTTAAGACTGTCTCCCATGTCGTGACAGTCTTCATTTTCTTCTGGTTTCCGTTTCCCCTGTATCTCATATTGCGGCTTACAGCGCACATATCACCTTTTACTATTATAGTATACTTCCATTTCTTACTGGTATTGCATACAATAAGTTTGGTTGTAAATCCTATCATCTACGGCTTCAGAGATCGGGCTTTTCGAAAGGCCTTTCAAAATATCTTGCGTCAGTTTTGAATATCGTAGTAATCTTTCGAAGTTCGTCGTAACCCCCTGCATGACGCCATTTTAGCGTGTGATCTATCCAGTTTCACATGAAAGGAGCAACATTTGACCTGGAAGTAACTTTACATTTATTGCAAACATCATTTCATTTTAACGTAAGAACCTGCAAACTACAAACCTTGCTGAGGGAGGGCCTGTCAGAAGTAGCCGAACTAGCAGTAGCTCTAACTTGATTCATTGCATATGGTTGCGTTAAAAGTTGCTAACGCGTTCTTAATTCTAAATATTTAGGGCCTTGTCAGCAAGCAATGAAATTGACGATGTTTTAGGGGCTTACTCATTTGCATGCATCCTCGTTGCTGTAGCAAAGCCCTTGGTGCGTGAGCTAGATTAAGTGAAAACGACCCGACTTTGGGGTCTGATTTTGTTTTCGGGGCTCAGGGGCTAAACACAACGGCTACGACCAGGCTGACAATCTTTTTATCAATGACTGTATTAGTCTAAGGGGCTAAATGTTATGGATAGAGTAGGATGACTATTTCGGGACAGGTTACCAGACTATTTACTTCTCAATGATGCCGCGAGTGCAACGAGCTTCAGAGCTTGTTTTAACGCATAACGTAATTCATGTGCATCCTTAGCATCATCAATATATGTATATACACGATTCATCAAGATGATAAGTGGAAACGATAAATGAGCAATCTGATCTGAATAAGATTTTATGTCAGTGGCAGTCAGCCTGTTTGATTATTGTAGCAAGGAACAAAGTGATGTGTCAAAAGAATATCTGGGCTGAAATGACTTCAAAGTAAAACGTATAATCATTAATTTCCCGCAGTCTTGTATCTGAGAATTTCAATACCTTATGAGCAGATATTGGATAGTCATGACTCCTCCGGGGTTAGAGAAGCATGTATGTACTGTAATTGCACATTCACAGGTCAATCAAAGCCATTTTATTTAGAATTGTTGGTTTTCTGTAGCCTTTTATTCTGAAGAACCTTCTGTTGGTCACTTTATGCTTGGAATATATAAGTCCAATGCTTAATGTGCGCAAACCCGTTCGTTTGCGTTGGATTAAAGATACTAAATTGATGAATGAAGCTGTAACTTTAGTGTGACATAATATATGCCCCAGTCACTCCGACTTCATACTGATCGCTTCCTTGCCATTGTGGTAATGTAATTCAATATATATTAAGCAATCTCTTGTTGGTCACGTCATTGTGACTGAAGCTCAAATGTATATATTCACTGTTGACACTACTGGAATTGCCTAAGCTTAATCTCCACTTGACCACGACACCTCTGCATAATATACCCCAGTCACACCGCCACTACGACTTCAAACTGATCGCTTCCTTGCCATTGTGGTAATGTAATCCAATGTATATTAATCAGTCTCTTATTGTGACTGTATATTCACCAATGACACATAATCATCATTGTGACATGCAAAATGTACTGTGTAACTCAATCAAAATGTCAAAAATCCAACTCTTTACTTTACCCACAGAAAGATAATAAAACTTTGTGACCTACTGAAGAGAATTTGTCTCAGTGTTTCATCATTTTTGTTTAAAAATCTCTATGATAATTGTAACATTCCAATTTTATTTGTAGTAACTAGTATGTACAGCACATTGTGACTTTACATTATGACTCAACGTCCTTTTGAGCCTTCCAAAGTAGTTTCGAAATGATTAGCCTTTAAATAGCTCCCAGTTTTATACCACATGAAAATATCAAGGTATTTTTGGTTTCAATTTCTAGCATATGTAAAATTCTAAATGCGGACATGATCACACTCCATGATCTGACTACGATCCGAATTTAAGGGACTTTGTAACAGCATCTCATATAAACATTCAAACATTTAAAATCTTAATCACCGAGGATCTGGAAAATCATAATGATTGACAAATCTCAATCTTAAGGGATTTTATTCTTCCTTGGAGGGGGAAAGGCTAAATCGGCTCATAATCGTAATGAAACCAGAAGTGTACATTTTTACGTAATTCTTGAGATTTTGAAAATATAGGCATTACTGCAGTAGTTCTTACAGATTGAGCCTGCACAATCTTCAGATCTAGCCGCTTGAACCTGTTGGACGCAACTCGAGATACTTCCGAGTTGAGCGCTGCGAAACTCTCTGTCTCTATGACGACATACAAAGAGATTGAATCTTAGCTCTTGAACTTAAAGGACGTAGCTTGAAATAGTTCGAAGAAAAGTGTACGAAACTCTCTGTCTCTACGATGATATTTCAAGGGAATACATCTTAGCACTTGTATTTGTTTGACGTAGCTCGAAATATTTCGAGAAAGGTGTTGCAGAACTCCCTATCTCTATGATGATATATGAAGTGATTGAGTGTGGCAGCAATAGCTACTGCTACTAGGAAACAAAGATTTAGATATGCCACAGAGGCTTCGTCCGCTAGCGGCGTTACCTGAAGAGTGAAGAACACGATGTATGGAGACCAAGAGGACACAAGGACACCGACTATGATGCCAGTTGTCTTGACCGCTTTGAGCCTGCGCTCCAGCGCTTCCGGTGCGACGTGGTTATTTTGACCGTTGCTTGTTTGAATCGCTATGGCTCTTGCCTGCTTGACAGCGATATGCATTATGTGGAGGTTAGAGACAACTATCAACAACAGTGTAAGGACCAAAAATGAAATGATGGCCAAGCAGAAGGTTACGAACCCGAAGCTATAGCGCGGTTCTCCTCTACCGCGGTTGGCATTTGGAGTTTAGGTTAGGTCAATGTAACCGCGTAATACGAGAAAGATCAGACTTGAAGTCCAAATGGACGCTATCGCGTAACCAACGCGTTTCGGAGTAACCAATGCGTTTCGGAGTAACCAATGTGGGATATTCAAGCGGTTTTGTTACCGCGACGTACCGGTCTACGGTCAGGACAACAATGTGGAGCAGTGTACCCGAACACAAAGTGAAAAGTGGTAACGTTAGCAAGTCCGCCATGATGGGGTCCACTTCTTTTGCGAGAATGCTGCTGGGTAGGAGTTAAGAGCAAGAGCCAAACTTGTAGCCATATCATTCACTGCAAGACTTGTGAGGATATAGTTCGTCGGCGTTCGTAGATTGTAGTTTTTGTAAACGGCCAAGAGGACGAACAAATTCCCAATAATGATGAACGGTGCCAACGTACCTATCACCGTTTACTATTATGGTATACAATAATTCCTTCCTGGTATTGCATACCATAAATTTGGTTGTTACTCCTATCATCTACGGCTTCAGAGATCGGGCTTTTCGAAAGGCCTTTCAAAATATCTTGCGTCAATTTTTAATAACGTAGTAATCTTTCGCAGTTCGTCGTAACCCCTCTGGCGCCATTTTAGCGTGTGATCTATCCATTGTCACATCAAAGGAGCACCTTTTTTTTCTGGAAAAAACTTTACATTTTTTGCAAAACATTACTTTAATTTAGTTTGAGAACCTACAAACCTGACTGATGGCCTGTCAGAAGTAGCCGAATAAGCAGTATCTCTAACTTGGTTCATTGCATATGGTTGCCTTAATAGTTGCGAACGCGTTCATAATTTTAAATATTAAGAGCCTCGCAGCAAGCAATGGAATTGACGATGTTTTAGGGTTTTCTCGTTTGCATGCTTCCTCGTTGGTGTAGCAAAGCCCTTGGTGCGTGGGCTAGATGAAGTGAAAACGACCCGACTTTGATGATAAGATGATAAGTGGAAACGATAAATTTTTAATCTGATTTAAATGAGATATCTAGGCTAAAATGACGTGAAACATAATTATAATCATCCCCCGCAATATGGTGCTTGTTTCTGTAATTATTCATAGGTGATAAGCAAATATTGGACAATCATAACTCCTCCGGGGGTAGAGGAGCATGTATGTACTGTAATTGCAAATTCAAAGGTCAATTAAAACCATTTTATTTCGGTTTGGTTGTCTCGTATCCTTAGATTCTGAATAACCTGTTCTGTTGGTCACTTTATGCTTGCACTCTATAATTTTGATGCTTATTATGCACAAACCTGTTCATTTGCGTTGTATTAAGATAACAAATTCTTGAATTAAGCTGTCATTTTAATCGAATGAAATCTATTCAGGATCATAATCAGGATCCATTCGTGTTTCTTAAGATGTCATGTGTCATTGATTTGTTAAGTGCGTTCGCATATTGAAAGAACGTCAGTAAGCATTGATTATCATTGACACAAATTGCTATTTATTCTTGATGCCATGTCTAGTTAGGTAAACAAACTGGCCTTTGTGGTCTTCTGTGGGTCTTTTCTTTAACTTTGTTCTTTATATTATTCTTAGAGGGTTTCTTAGATCTAACGAACATTTATAGCCAGAATGATTGTTGAAATGCATATAGACAATGATGGGCCCCTAAAACATAACATGTAAGCACTTTGGGTACACTTTATAAAAAGATCAGTCGGTGACATCGTCTAAGTATCAAACTTTACTTAGGAATCCGATTGAAAAACAAAAAACGAGGTGAACACCATTTGCCTGCTGGATTCGTCTATGTGCTTAATAGTATAGTATTATGGGGTTTGTGTGTCCCGCCTTCTCTCATGCCTTTGGAATAGATTAAAAATATTCATCAAATAGGACTACAATCACATGATTATTTGTCCTTTATGATATTATATAACATCAGTCTTAAAATATTTATGAAATATTGGTTGTTAACGTCTTCAAATTAATTAATCAACTGTCCGGACACAGTGGCCCGAATTCACACTTTGTGAATTCGGGCCACAACGTCTGGGTATAATTAATGGGGATGAGAATCAGAGTAATGTGAATGAGCCGAACCATATTTCGTGTGTAATGAAGAAGGCCAAATCAAGAGAGAGAAAGAGAGAGAGAGAGGGGGGGGGGGGAAGAGATAATGTGGAGTGTGTGCGCGCGGGTGTGTGTGTGCGTGTAAGAGAGAGAGAGAGAGATCTATATATATCAATATATATTACTTTGTAATTAGTGAGTCTTCGTCAATTTTTTTTTTTAGGACCCAAAAATGTTGGTTTTACATTCAGGTTCTCTTGACAATGTCAGTTCCGCGAGGCTATCGTGAGTGTTTCCAAACATGCTGAAGATTGCATACAAATAATACATGCTTGCGAGTGCATTAATGAATATGCACTGCAACGAGTTGAAATCACATTAGGATACTGAACGAGCTGAAATCATTGATTATTTGTGTATTTGATGGGTCTACAATATGAGTATTAAGTCGGGAAATTGACGGTTGTTATCACCAAAATGCACTCCTCGAGTCTATCCTAAACATCAATGCACACACACGTGATCCATTTCGACGCATCTCATTGGCAACATTCTTGGACCCATTTTATATTTCTTCATAAAAAGGCATGACGGT